CAATTACTACACTGCACGCTTCTGATTAGGAAGGAAATAAGTCGTTGAACTGGAACGGGCTGACTGTACTTGTGATAAAACGTCCCACTGGACCAACGGTTGAAATATAGATCAGTGAGCAGCACATCGGGTCAGTAGTCGATGACGACGAGGTCGATAGTAGGCCGATCAGGCACGTGACATCTGATGCGAGTGGGCTGCGGCAGAATTGGAATTCTGACCAACTTAACAATTTTCTTAGTTATTGTTCTGGTCCACTGAAACCGATTGATGCATTCGAGATAGCCATTGATGGTCAGCAAAATTTTCCGCCGTTGAATCATGACTGTAGTGACTGAGTTAGCTCATTACATGGTACTAAAACTCCATTCACAACTCGAACTTTACACATTCCGGATCCCGTTCGATCCTGGTCGCAGTTTTTTGTAACAAACTTTGGTGACTGATTTCTCTAACTTNAATGTGCCGGCAACCGCAGTCAGCAGTGTCATATCTACAACTCCCCCTAACAACAAACATTACTCGGAAAGTTCAATGTACATGTGTGCTCTACATCATATAGTTTCCCCCGCTTCCATGTGAAATATCCTACGCGTCTGTCTGACACTGACACGCGTCCGTTTCACACTGCAATGGCATCTCGGACGCTGGAAAAGTTGTGGCTATGTATCGTGGTTGTAATAATGATAGTAGAAGTAGCATGCAATGAACATGAAACACGAATCACGGAATACGAATCACTGATCAGCAGTCACAGACGCCACATAAGCACTGGACCACACTTGCACGGCAGTATCCCACGTAACTGAGACGCGAGAAAAAGGCCACAGGAGTAGTAGATCGTTTATTAAAAGAAATCACGGGAATTAAATAATATGTACAAAACAAGATCATTGGTCATCCGGACCTCTGTCAATCGCGTTTCATACTGGGACAACTTGACATGAAAAACGTATAGTATTTCTGCCGTTGTTCTGCTTCTGTCTGGGCGGCACGGGTTGTTATTAACTGGTACGATCGACCCGTGGTATTTAGTCCAGAAGCTGTAGCATGCACGCGCTTTGCTGACATCATTCGTGAATTTTGATTGATTGCAGTTGTCCAAAAACTGCAACACGTCGCTCCGTGGAACGCGTCATCTCGCAGGCTGAAATCACCACACTATGTTACTCTGGTTGTGAAAGATAAGCTACGGTGTGTGATTAACGCTAGAATGGACTACTGTGTACATAATAAAATCCTTACTGTTGTCGCATACCCAATGATAACCTCTCCCGGCCCGTAGATTCGCATAGTGCTATTTTTCTATTTCACGGGCTCATTTTTCACGTTAATTGTATCATTTGGTGGCCATCTTTTCTCAACATATCGCTCCAACTGTCATTTGTGAATCAGGCTGAAATTTTACCCACCAGTGTGACTGAAGCCTTTATTGTCCCGGAGAAGACAGAGTGGGCTACCACAAAGGACGCCCTGATCGAGGGTTTCGACGCCCCGGCCGACCGCCAGGAGGCGTTGCGGAGCTTCAGGATGGCACAGCTCGGAATTGGCGTGGGCTCCTTATGGCATGCTATAGACTTGCGCACTTTGTTAGATCGAGCGCTGCCAACTTTGAACGAGGCCGCCCACTCGGAATTATTGCTGGAGCGTTTCGTGGAGAGGCCAGAAATATCGAAACGCGCAACATGGCACACACACATGGAGTCATGGAAATCCGTATGGAGGCAGCTTTATTTGAATGTCGCTGGTGTCTTGAAGGAACGATAGCCAGGAAGAAGTTGCCCCGTAGTGGTCATTCCTAAACAGTAGCACCAAATCCTTATTAGAGAAATTCATGAACTGGCACATACTGACTGCGCGCTACTTTACGACTGGCCTCGACAGCGTACGTATTGGTCAACTATGCAGACCGCTGTGACAAACTAGGCGCTGGTTTATGAAAAATGCCAACTTTTCAAGTCAGACATCCGCCCATCTCAATGTCCATTTCAGTCCATACCAGAAGCCGAGAGCGGCGAGTTATGGTTCATTGACCTCATGGGTAAGTTTCCGATTTCCCTCAGGGGACACCAATAATGATGGAACATTTCACGCGCTGGAGTTGCAGATCAAAAAGCCGCGACGAGAAGCAGAGTTTTGATGGAGTATATCGTGGCAAATTAATGTGTACCGCAAGCCATCCATCCTTACGAATCAAAATCCGTGCCCTAGAGAGTAATCCATTTTGCACGTGCTTACAGAAATTGGGCAACAAATTAACAGCCTCACCGAAAGAAATTACAGAACAATCAAACAATAGTTGGGAGCGAAAGGAGGTGATTGGGATTCGGTCCTATCTTTACTAGTTTTTGCGTACCGTTCGTCCGCGCATTCCAGGACCGAACATACACCGTTTCAACTGATGTATGCAAGAATTTCAGAGCTGTCAGTCGATCTTGACTTTAGCATCCGGCCGCGAAATCACTTATCTCCTCGACAATTTCAACAGGCAAGATGTGAAGCCCGGTAATACCTGAGGAAGGAACAAGAGGTCACAATGGGCAACTTCAGGACACAAAGTAGACGGACAGCCAGTGCGATCGCGGTTGGATCTAAAGTAGAGTATAAGTGGCATATTGGTGGATTCGCGGGCGACCAAGGCTCGAGGAGGGTTACAACCAAAATGGAAAATTCCAAAGCGCATAATTGAAGAACGCCATCCCGTGTACATAATACAACGGATGAACAAAGTCCATCGTGTACATCGAAACGATCTTGCAAAATGGCACGAGGAAATGTTCAATACACAATTGAAACAAAAGAAAGACACTCCAGAATACCCTAACAAAAAATCGAACACGAAGTTGTCCGACTTTTAAAACCGGAAACAGAGACGTTCACAATCCAATCGACTATTGGTCGAGGCATGCAGAGATATATTTATCTGAATAGACGAGTGTTGTGAGATACTGCTCACAGTTGTGAGTAGTAGAGATAGTGCTCGTAGTAGTAGAAGTAGCTAGAAAACTTCATCTGACCGCTTTATAGTCGAGGATAAAACCTGTTGACCGGAGCTTCAGTTGCGTACCTCACAATGCCAGCCCCGTGAAATCTAGTGATCTATGGTATATTTTTCATGTACAATATTCTTTTATTTCTTTGTGATTCTTGAATTAACCTCGAGGTCGGTCGTTGTTGATCGGGTCACACAAAGGTAAGAATATA